CTGACAGTGGCTTTGATCTTGCAGGGACTGGTCTGACAATTATGTGGTTTGGGACAATTTGTTGTATTTTTTGGCTCAATATGTTCTTCTCTCTGGGCCCCATTCTTCTCATCCTCCTGGTCCCCCTACATTCCAGTGTTGCCCAAGATACTTAGCCAAGAGAGGCTGGTGGCACTTTTCACACCATGGGTGCCCTTTAGGCCACACCCCAGGGCTGCCCCTCACATGTTCTCCACACACACACACACACACACACACACACACACACACACACACCCTGGTGCCTTCCCCACTGTCCTCTGGGGAGAACTCATCACCCTCAGGACCCAGTCCCAGCCACCTCCTCCGGGAAGCCCTCCCTCCAGGCAGGACTGAAGCTGTGTATAAACTTAGGAGCAGTTAGGGGGCTCAGGTCTGTACCCTCTGCACTGGAAACCCCCTCAGGGGGAGGGTCTCTCTGACGTCTCTGGGGCCCCTGCTCCTGCCAGCACATACAACAGGGTCAGGAGGCCTTTCCCACCCTAACCCTGGCCTTTCTCCCACCCCTGGGGGTCACAGCGTCCTGCTGGATAGCTACCTAGTGGTGGAGGACATCGAGAACCAGAGTGACGCAGACGAGACTCAGCAACAGAGGGATTCAGAGCAGGTAGGAGGAGCCCTGGGACCCCACAGACCAGGCGCCGGGCTGGTGCCATGAAAGGGGCCATGTCCACTTTGTTTATGGGGGATTTTCAATGAGAGATGCCCACGGGACAGGGAAGAGCCGTGGGGTGGGTACTGCAAGGTCCCACTCTAAACAGGTGAGACGGTGCCAGAAGGGACTTGAGTGACACATCCTTGGGTGGCGTTTTAAGAGGACCTGGGCTTGAATCCTCACATGACTTGGTGACTTTGTGCAAGCTGCCCCCTTCACTCTGGGCCTCTCCTCAGACAAAAGGGACTGGTAACATTTCCCAGGTTTTTAGGAAGATTCAAAGGGCCCGAGCATCAGGTGTGCACTGAGGAGGGCGGTGCTGGGCGGGGAGTCATGGGGCCGCTCCAGCGTGTCTATCCCCTGGTGCACAGACCTATACTTGACAGGTGGGAACACTACCTTCTGCAGGTTAGCAGCCCCCTCCTTGGGTGCCCCCAGAGGCAGGGTCCAACTGCGTCAGGAAAGGAGGAGAACTGGGCCCAGGCGGCCCTCTGTGTTAGACTGGAGCCCGGCTGGGAATGAATGAAGCATCTGCTTTAATTTTTTGTAGGAGCTGCAGGAGGAAGAGGAGGAGGCTGCCTGCTCAGAAGGTAAGGCTGTGTGGGGTGGGGTGGGGGTGGTTGGATAATGACAGCAGGACACCCTCAGGCCCAGCAGCCTGCTGCAGGGGACCCCCCTTCTCTGCCACCTTACCACCCAGCACCTCTCAGCCCTCTTTCCCCAGGACCTCTGCGCCCTGGTGTCTGACGGTGAATTTCAAAGGTCCCCCTGGACTCCCAGAGGTGGGAGACGCTACCTCCACTCATCCTACCGTCTTCTCTCAGTGGGAATACAGCTCCCAGGGAGGGTTTGAGTCAAACCTAACTTACCTGAGTGTAACTTGAGACCAGACACTTCTTAGGGGCCCATCCCAGTTCCACTTTGCTTTCTGGGTTCTTCCTCCTGCTAAGACGGCCACAGGTACACGGCTATTATTCACGCCTTATCCTGAACAGTCTCCTGGTTCCCTTCAGTCGCTGGTGCTCCCACTGGTGACGTGTCAGATGCAGGGATTGGTGCTCTGAGAGGCTGGATTAGATCCAGAGACCAGGGGCACAGACTGGTGCTTCACTGTGGACTCTTCTCTCTTCCCCTCTGTGTGACCCAGAGCCCGTCCCTTGACCTCTCTGAACAGTGATTCCCAACCTGGGAAAAATAGGGGACTAATGGTCCCCAGGGAGCCCTGGCAGTGTAGTCTGTAGGGAGTTGTGCTGCTGACCTGAGGGGAGCATCTCTGCGGTGGTTCGAGTCCATCAGAGGCTCTGCTCCAGAAAGCCGGGCGATCTCCTCCAGTGCCATTTACAACAGCAACACCTGTCTGGTACCTGCAGGGCTCCCTGCAACAAAGTGGCTTTTATCGGGCATCTCACCTGCTACTGCTCAGTGGGACAGTGGGATGAGGTCCTCTGTCCTGATAAAACGTCACTCTGATGGGAGTGGACGACCCCATCCCTTGAGATAATTCTAAGACATTTAGCCCGCTGCCAATTCCAGCTCACGGCAACCCCAGCGCAGAGTCCCCAGGTTTACAAGGCTCTGATCTGTGGAGACACGGGCGGGCCTTTGCGTTAATGCCAAGTGCCGTAAGTACTACACTGCCAGGGTGCCTTTTCCAAAATACACAGGAGGTTAAAGGTGGAGTGTGTCTGGGCTGTCAGGCAGCCCAGGAACCTTCAGCTAATATTAGCTTTACCATCCATTCAGGGCCCTTTTCTTTTTTTATTTTATTTTTATTTTTATCATTTTGTGTGCATGTACCATCAAATCAGATCTGACTGGTACAGGAGGAGATTGTCCCTCTTTCTCCAGTAGAGCATCTGGTGGGCTTGAACCACAAGCCTCTGGGACTGCAATGCAGCTTCTTACCCTAGGCCACCAGAGCTCCCTTAGGGCCCTTTCCTACAGGCTGCTATGTGTGTCCCAGGCCACCGTGTCCCATGAAGTCTGTGTGTGTCCAGTGAAGGAGGGAGAGCCTCTTCAGGAGACTCGGATGGGGTTGTGTGCAATAGGGCTTTGCATACTTGGGGCACCATGACCACCCAGGTCAAGGCTTGGCTCTGGGGGTCTGGGAGGGGTGCCAGTTTCCCACACTTTCTCTGGGTCATGTAGAGGCAAGTGGTCTGGGAACCCCATGTTGAGAAGCACTGAGGCCTTGTCAGTTTGTCCATCATTATTCCAAATTGGAGCTAGGAGTTCAGGCCTCTCTTAGGAACTGGGGAGATGCGGTCCCAGGCCCATCCCAGGCCTGTGGGTTGGAATCTGCATTTTAGCTGCCTCTCCTGGTCATCTGTCTGCATCGGAGTGTTTAAAGGGCACTGGCCTCGAGCCCTGATTCTCAAACTTGACTGCATGCTGGAATTATTTAAAAATCCTGGTGCTAGGGCTTCACCTCAAACTATTCCATCTGAATCTCGGGGATTGGGCCTGAGGATCAGAGATTTCTGACCAGGTGATTCCGGGGTGCAGCCCAGCTTGAGAACTGATGCCCTGGGGGAAAGTGGGATTAACTGGCCTCCTTTGGGGATGGAAAATCTGCCAGGCTAAGAACCTGCACGTCCCAGGTTTTCTGGGTCCAATGGTCTAAGATTCTAGGAACTGTGGGTTCTTTCTAACTTGTTGAAGTTAGGGTTCTGCATCTGAGATGGGGAATACTACTGCTGGTGGTTGGTTAATAGAGGAAACAGGAGAAATTGGGGTCTCCAAGGGGGTTCCTCAGAGCTGTTGGCTGGATCAACCCCCCCGCTACATGACCATCGAGATTCAGAGACAAGAACGGTGCTTAGGCTTGGGGGGAGCGTCTGCAGGCGTGTGGCCCCCACTGCCTGTGTTGGCTCTCAGGCCCCTCCTCTTCTCTCCCCAACTCTCTCTACTCCTCATTGTAGCTCCCAGGGGCCAGGCTCTCGTGGCCTCAGCACCATGGCTAAACCCGGCCGGGATGTGGAGCTGAATCGCTTGGTCCAGGACCAGCGGCCTGGCCCTGTGGCCCCTGGGCCTGCCCCTGTGAACCTGGCAGAGTATCTCCCCAATGTGCCCAGCTACCGGCCCCCAACCACTCGTATCCCCATCCTCATCACCCGGAGGACGACCTTGTCCAATTCCAGCTTCGCCAGGGAGCCTAGGAGCTCCGTCCGCCGTCTCGGTAGGATGGCCTTGCACTGCCTGGGGCTCTTGTGCCCACAACGTGCTGCTTCTGCATGGCTTGTGCTGGTTTCCAGCACCGGGGGGGCTGCGACCTTGCTGTGGAGCCACGAACTGGCCTCCTGTAAGACCCCCTCCTCTTGAGTTACTGCTCAGAGAATTCATCTCGCTCCCAAGCCTCTGTCCAGAGCTGAAGGACTTGCTTGTATAGGCTGGGAAGTGAGCATGAAGGGAGAACAGAAAAACCTTACTACATACAGATAGAAGTGACTGGTCCCGAGAGTTTACTGGGAGCTGGGTGTTCTGAGAACCATTGGCATTTGCCGTCAGTGGTGTTTCAGGGAAGGAGAGGCCCTCAGGGTGCAGAGAGCCAGGTCAGGCGGAGTTGTGTCTTCAGAGACCAGTGCAGTGGGGGACCCTGTGTGCGTCTGGTTAATTGTGACCAGGTCCCCACAGCAGCCTTCGGGTCCTGCTGCTTGCTGCCTAATGACAGGGCCCTCAGGGACACACTGACGCCTTTGGGCCGGTCCCTGTCACTCTCTGTTTTAATTGGAGCCAGAGCTGCCTGCCCTCCCTCTGCTTTGTTTACCTGTTTCCTCCTATCGGACCAGTACGACAGTGTCCGGTACCGGTACCACTCCTGGCAGGTCGAAGCAAGCACTTCCCACCTTCAGGAGCCGCATCAGAATTCTTCCCTCCTGGCTTGGGGTGCGCACAGAGTGGGGAGAGGCAGGAATGCATCACTGCCATGACCAGGAATACACCCCAGTTCAGCCTCCCAGCAGGCAGGTTGAAATCCGTTCACTCCAGACTCTCCAGTTTCCGTCTCTACCATTTGGTGCTCCCCACGTTTTGCTATCTTCACAGCACCTCCACTTGTATTTGCTTACTGTTTTCTTCAGGAAGCTCTGGTAGCACAGGGGTTAAGCTCTCCTGCTAACTGAAAGGGGCGTGTGTGTGTGTGTGTGTGTGTGTGTGTGTGTGTGTGTCTGGAGCCCACCAGGTGTTTCATGGGAGAAATTCCTGGCAGCCTGCTCCCTTCTGGATCTACAGTTTTGGGAACCCTGTGGGGCACTTTTCTCTGTCTTGTGAGGTCTCTGACTCAGGATTGACTGACAGAAAGATTTCTCTAGATGGATTAATTTTTTCATTTAGTGAGACATATTTAAACAGGAAGCATTGTGCACTATTTAAATGGAGAACCAGTACTGCTTGCCACAAAGAGAAGGCAATCATAACTAGAACTGTCGTCGTTGTTGAGTACCGAGTTGGAACCTACTCATAGCTAACCCTCCAGAGGGTTTTCAGAGGCAGTTAATTGCAGGGGAAGAAATTGCTGATCGTTCTCCCACAGAGCAGCTGCTGGATTTGAACTGTGTACTTCTGGGATGGCAGTGCAATTCCTTACCACAAAGCCTCCAGAGCTCCCTAAGTACAAACACACAGAATGTTTTAAAAAGTATTAATAGTTTCTTTTTCTTTCTTTCTTTCTTTCTCTCTCTCTCTCTCTCTCTCTCTCTCTCATATGTGTACCATCAAATCGGATCTGACTGGTACTGGAGGAGATTGCCCCCCCTCCTCCAGCAGAACATCTGGTGGACTCAAAGTGTTAATAGTTTCTAGAGAGATCTGGAGAAGGACTGAAGCAGACCTACAGCAGAGGCCTCCTCTCCCAGCCCAGGAGAGTCAGGATGAGTCAGAGAGAGACACGGGGTTGAAATGGAAGCAGTGGTCTCATTCCGTATCCCCTGCCTTATCTGCACCATCTCAGATCATCTTGCGGCCTCCTATGTACCTGAGAACCCTACCTTTGGGAAATGTTCCCAGTCTATTGGGACCATGGCCTGGTGTGGCTTTGTTATGACACAGCATAGCATTCAGTGGTTCTGTCAGGCTCCTCCCCAGCAGGATGGAGGATCTTCCCGCATTTCCTGGCCCCCAGTCTCTGCCTGGGGTGCGGTGTGCTGGCTTCCAGTGTGTTCCAGAGCCCCCTGCCTGAGTTCGAATCCTGGGTCCCCAGCATACTTCTTAATTTCTCTGTGCGTTGTGACCTTTTCCACAAAATGGGTCCATTGGTCACAGTACTTCAGGGAGCAGCAGGGAAAGTTACAAGGGTCACTAGAGTAGGACATGAGAACTCAAGGGACTGCCTTGCTTTTCCATGTCTTGCAAGTTTCCAGCCTTTGACCAGGTGCAGTCTTGACACTTTCCCATCACTCTGTCTTCCTGAAAATCACTCATGTCTTCCTTCTTAGACAGATCACCACCTGGTACAGGTTCCAGCCTCCACAGATTTTACTGCCTAAGTATATTCATATTTCACTTAGCGTTTAGTGAAACAAGTGCCTGGCAGACCCATAGGAAATGCTTAATAGTAAATGTTATTATTCTCTAAATTATTAGTTTTCATCTTTTTAACTCTATTATTTTCTAAACCAATAGAAACCTTTATCACTTTGACAACTTTTTTTAAAAATTTTATTATTTTTGTGTGCGTGTACCGTCAAATCAGATCTGACTGGTACAGGAGGAGATTGTCCCTCCTTCCCCGGCAGAGCATCTGGTGGATTCGAACCATTCGCCTCTGGGATTGTAGTTGCAGCTCCTTGCCACTAGGCCACCAGAGCTCCCCTAAGAAACCCTTATCACTTTGAGTTTCCATCTGTTGAGCCACTGGGAAACGGAACATCCGTCCTGAAGTTTCCCCCTCATCTTAGGTGGTAGATCGGACCCACACAAGGCCCCTCCCGGCCCCTCCGCACCCTCTGAGCTTGGCCTACAACAGACCTGTCCTCACTGTCCCTGGGTGGGCAAAGAGCCTGAGGCGGGGTCACCCCCAGGCTCCCCAGGAAGGACCAGGTTTGGGACATGGCACCAGGACTCCGAGAAGACCAGGGAGGAGCTGGGTTCATTCATTTTGGAGACACATGGCACGTATAAGAAGCAAATCGGGTACCCAAACAGAGAGTGTTAGAAAGGCTAGCTTTATTAATATGCCAAGTTAGAGTGTTACAGACACTGACTTTGCTAACATTCACACACACGGTGAAGACCTTTGATTGGAGAAAACGTAAATATCTCTGTTTGAGATTCTTCAAGATATGAGGCCATGTGCTCTCCTGGCCTCTCGCCTGCAGGCCTAGGAAGGCATCTTCTTGGGTGGGGAAAGGGGACCCAGATGGCCCTGAGCCACATGACTGTGCAAGGCCAGGCCGTCAGGACCCCAGCTCCCCCAGGTTCCCTCTACCCTTCCTGAGTGCTGCTTCCACCCCCAGCTCCCTGGTCCTTAATGCAGAGGGCATTGGCTGGGCTTGGAGAGCTGCACTCCAGGCTGTGCCCGGGAGCCTCTGTGCCATGTGGCTGCTTTGGTGGCTCGTGGCCTGGTGACGGGTTGGCAGGGCTCCCGGTGGGCTCTGGGATCTAGATACTCGCATGCCTTGCATGGACGCTCACCTGCACGGGCTTGCTGGCAGATGGGGGTACAGAGACCACTCGGACCGTGCTTTCTCGGAGGACATGGGGGGGCCTGGCTTTCCTCTTCCCACTGTCTCCTCTCCTTCCTCTCTCCAAGTGCCGGCCACGAAGCAGCACCCTGAGGTGCAGGTGGAAGATGCCGATGCAGACACCCTGCCACTCATCGTGGAGGAAACACCACAATCGCCAGCTTTGCCACCCCTATCTCCTGCCAAATCGGACACTCTCACCGTCCCAGGCTCAGCAGCGGGGACTCACAGGTCACCATTTATGCTTTTCTCAGGCTTTTCATGGTGCTGTGCTATGTGTCCATTTGACAGATGAGGACACCGAGGCCCAAGAAGTGAAGCCCTGGCTCACTGTCACACCTGACATCAGGACCTGCACTTCCTCCCTAAATCCTAGCTGTGGGCCTCTTACAAGGGCCCCTTCTAAAATCCCCCGAGGGTCATTCAGGAGGGGCGATGAATGTGTCGAGCTAGTTCCTGCCCCTTTTCGTCTTTTGTTATTAAACAATAGAATACCTTAGAACATTAGAAAAATCATCCCAAGTACTAGATAGTGTTTGGTCTTTTCAACTTGAGCCAGGTGACCACACTCCTGGGTAAGCTGCGGTGTGCAGCTCAGAGCTTTGTGGCTGGCTGTAATCCAAGACTAAGTGGAGCCACTGGTCTCCTCCCATACCAGCTGAGAGGAGTCTTTCTCTCTGATTAATTTTTGTTGCCATCCATGAGCTATTTAGTGTCATTTTTTTTTTTCAGCAGAGGTCAGGAATCCCATTTTTCAGAGGGAGAAATTGACGCACCTCAGAGAATTTGAGTAGCTTGCCCAAGGTCAAGGGTGGAATGCGCACTTAGGCAGGTCTGGTGCCGAGTCAGTGCTGTTAACCTGTATGCTGCCCACTGCACAGATGTGGAGACTGAGGTCTGGAGCGTGGTGGTGCCTCTTTCTTCTCCTCCTCCTCCTCTTCCTCCTCTCCTTTCATCACAGAGATGATTCATCCTCTGGGCACAGGAGGACCTTCTGGCCTGATCCCCAGCCTGGAGCAGGGGGCAGGGGCCAGGGGATGAAGGATCCAGGCCTGCCCTGGGCTGAAGGTCCCTCCACCTCTGTCCGTTTAGGAAGAGGCTGCCTTCCCATGATGATGAGGCTGAAGAGCTCAGGGTGGTTACGCCAGCGGAGTCCCCCGTGGTCGCCTGGTCAGAGCATTCCAGTCCGCAGGGGATGGAGTGAGTGTGGCCGTCTCTGGGGTCTCAATGACTGGGGGTGGGGGCTGGCTAGGGATTGTGGGTGTCTGGAACTCCCTATGAGGCCACCTTTGCCAGTCGTCCAGTCTCCTGTGGTTTCTGGTCAGCCGGGAGTGCTGTAAACTCAGCGCCTGCGGCCAGCAGGGGGCATTTCTGGCATTTAGGGCAAGCGGGCAGAGGGAGGCCCACGCTGCCGGGGGCCCAGGGATTCTTCCTGCCAGCTTGTTGAGATTGGGGTGATGCTCCACAGTGACCAGGACCGCGCCGCCTCCACAGCCAGCACAAACAGTGCCATCATCAATGACCGGCTGCAGGAGCTGGTCAAGCTGTTCAAGGAGCGGACGGAGAAGGTCAAAGAGAAGCTCATTGACCCCGACGTCACCTCTGACGAGGAGAGCCCCAAGCCTTGTGAGTCTGGAGTGAGTGGTGCCTGTCTGGCTAGAGGTAGGCTGGGAGCCCCAAAACTCATGATAAGTGGCCCCAAAGAAGTGGCTGGGGTGGATGAGAGATCCCTGTCTCCACTGTGGAGTTTGGACCATGCACACTGAGGAGTGAACCCATGTTGGTAAGTTCTAGCCGTTGGTGCAGTGGACTGGGCTCCGGCTCCCACGGGGCAGGTGTCCGGCTGACCCTCCTGCCTGCTCCTGTGTGGCTGTGGATGGTGCCGTCTGGGATGACATGTCTTGAGCTCTTAACACTAAGCTAGTGTCACAGCCCACTCTGGAGGCACGGAGCCTTCTTTTTCAAAGGCCTCATTTGCAATATTGTCGCGACACTGCATGGAAATTACCTTACTTTCACTGTATTGGGAGGCAGCCCCTCTTTTATCGGGGAAGGTTTTCAGTCATTATGTTTCCAGGCCCAAAGCTGGAAACAAAACCAAACTGAACCTCTAAGAGCCAAATCCCCAGGCCCCCAGCAAGTATGATGGCTGCACTGGGAAGCGATGGCCCCATCAGTCTCTTGTTTTAGAGGGGACGCTGAATTTCTATTCTGAGAAAACTGGAGCACCATCTCCCAATTTCACCATGTGCCTGGGGCTCCTGCAACGCTCCTAACCTGGGTGGTGGGACCCCGAGGTACCAAATGTCCCCAGCCTACCAGGGGCAACCGAGGGCATTCAAACACACATGGACAAAGGCTGGACTGAAATAAGCAGCCTTCTCAGAAGCATCACAATGTGGGCAGCCCTCAGGGAGCAGTTCCAGGAGGGGCTCTATTGCGGGTTTTGGGAGGACACTCCGAATGCCTAGGCTAAGGGGTCCACTCTAGGAGAGGCTGGGGTTTCTGCCTCGAGCCACCTGTGGGCTGTGGCCGGTCCCAGGCTTCCTTCAGCTTGTGTTGCCGAGCCTGCATGGGAGTCTGCTCTCAGGGCCTCCGGGGACTCGGTCACATGGTCACATGGTCACATGTCATCTCTCAGCCCCAGCCAAGAAGGCCCCGGAGCCACCGCCTCAGGACGTGAAGCCGGCCCAGTCGGATCAGATGGAGGAAGAACACTACTGTGAGATGCTGTGCTGCAAGTTCAAACGCCGCCCCTGGAGGAAGTACCAGTTTCCCCAGAGCATCGACCCGCTGACCAGTGAGTGCAGGGGCCTGGGTCTGATGGGAAAGGGCTGGGAAAACCCGAGAGGTGGGGTTGGGGAGCTGAGGGAGGCCATGTCGCAGCAGTGCATGGACTTTTTCAAAGAGAATCCACTTTCTCACAGACTCACTGGGCTTTTCCCAATGACATGTACCAAGATCACACAAGAAGTCATTTGGGGACAGGACTCCATCTCTGTTGTCCTGAGTCCCAGGCCTTACCTGGCCTCTATTAACACCAGGCCCCTGGGCCTCAAACATGCCCAGATGACCCTTCCAGTCACCCTCTCATCTAGCCAGCCGTGCATCCATCCTTCCGTCTGTCTTTCCTGTGCATATTTACTAAGGCATGCGGGAGCTTTTAGAAAAAACTTCCACAAACAGAAGAGAATTATCTAATAATGTTACCACATCCCCACCACCTCCTCTGAGCCCTGCAGTTCATAGGGCTGAGCTGCGATCTTTACAACAAAGGCAGTAGTATTGTGCCCCCAGATTTTGTTGTGTGCCCTGTTACAAGAGTATGACACATAATGCCTTGAGCAAAGTGCTGACAGATGGAAGAGTAGGCCTCACCCTGCCCATCTTAAAGGCCCTTTGGCCCTAAAGCCCTGCCCACCTGAAAGGCCCTTGGGCCCTACCTCTCTGCTCACGTGAAGGACCCCTTGGCCCTAACGCCCTGCCCATCTGGAGGGTTCTTTGGCCCTCACGCCCTGACCACCCAAAAGGCCCTTTGGCCCTAAATTCCTGCCCACCTGAAGGGCCCTTGGGTCCTAAAGCCCTGCCCACCTGAAGGGCCCTTGGGCCCTACCTCCCTGCCCACCTGAATGGTCCTTTGGCCCTCACGCTTCCCCATCGCACCCACACCTGCCCCGCAGACCTGATGTACATCCTGTGGCTCTTCTTCGTGGTGCTGGCCTGGAACTGGAACTGCTGGCTGATCCCGGTGCGCTGGGCCTTCCCCTACCAGCGGCCAGACAACCTGCACTTCTGGCTGTTGATGGATTACCTGTGTGACCTCATCTACCTCCTGGACATCACCGTGTTCCAGCTGCGTCTGCAGTTTGTCAAAGGCGGCGACATCATTGTGAGTGGTGGGCAGGTGCAGGGGGGCGACTGGGGGCAGATCCCACCACCACAGCCCTCAGGGGCGTGACTCCTGGAAATGTGACGGCCCACAAATGAAGGAGCAAAGGGTTGTCAGGAAGGCCTGTCTGCGCTCAGCTCCGCACCACATCTGCGGGCTGTGTTCACCTGTGACATGCGCCAGTTACAAACATCAAGCACTACTCGTGGGGAAGCGGTGTCTGTACCACCCAGAGTGTGGGGAGTAAAGATGGCAAGGTGGTGGGACAACGACCTGCAGTACAGAGCATCTGGTGCAAATCCTAGCTCTGTCCCAACTAACTGTACCGCCTCTCTCAGCCTCAGTTTTCTCATCTGTAAAATGGGCGTAGTTAGTTCTAGCTCCTATCTCAGAGCACGGAGGTGAGCACAGGTAACTGCTGGCAGTCAGCATTCCAAGGGACCCTGCACATGATAGGGCCAGCGTGTTGTCAGGTGTCTGCTCCTTGGACTAGTTGCAGGCCCTGTGCTCTTACAGGGAGGGAGCTGGGCCCCAGCACCTGAGTAGGGGAAGGTACAGACACACCTTGTGGGATCACTTTCTAAATTTGCACCCTGGGGGCGCCTACTCTCCTGGGTCCAGGTGAATTGAGGTGTTGCTTCTAAAGCCATTTATTGCTCAGAGGATTGACAGAGACCTCTGTCCTGGCCTCGCCTGAGCACCTGCCCATTTCCCCGTTGGGAACGGTTACTGAGTGAAGTGAACTCTACTTAAGATTGTGCTCAACAGCCTCATTATCCACCCAGAGAACTAGCTGGGGCCCCGGACAGGCCCCTGCCCACTTGGGGCTCTGTCTCCCACTTTAAAGTTTGGGAGGGTTCAGCTCCCAGAACCTCAGCTCCATCTGCTCCACATCCCCGGGTCTGCTAGGCCAACAGGAGGGGTGTGTGTGTGTGTGTGTGGGGGGGGTGTCTTCAGGCGTTTCTATCTCTGCTCACCACAAGGGACTCAGCTCTAAGGCCACTTCAGTCATAATTCCATTTCCTTTCAGACAGACAAGAAGGAGATGAGGAATAACTACCTGAAATCTCCCCGCTTCAAGGTGTGTACGCTACATTTTCAGTGCCCGTTGGATGGGGGTAGACAGGAATCTGGGGACCTGTGTGGTGTAGTTCCTGCAATATGGGGGTGCTGGCTCCATCCCCTAACCGCCCACAGAGTGCCCTTTGACCCCAGGCCCCGGCTCTGACACAGGCTGCTGGCCTTCTGAGGGCTCGTGCTGGTGGGTCTGTACCCCTCCAGCCCCCCACCCAGGCTCACTGTCGTGATAAGGAAGCCACGGTGGGAAGTGTAGGGGCTTGTAGGTGGAGAGCTGTCTATTCCTTCCTGGGTCAGCTGGCCTCGCTTCCCACTGGCGGCAGAGGCCTCTCCCTCACGCCGCCACATGCACCTGGGTCACCTGTTCACACTCTGTGGTGTCACGTTGGGGTTGTAGATGGACCTGCTCTGCCTCCTGCCCTTGGACTTTCTCTACCTGAAGTTCGGAGTGAACCCGCTCCTTCGCTTGCCCCGATGTTTAAAGGTAAGACTGGCGGGTGTGTGGAGACCAGGCACACAGACGGGCCTGCAGTGCTACCGGACTAACTTCCCATCGCAGCTTCACCTCTGCCAGTGAGTCGACGGGGTCCAGTTCCCTCCACACAGCACCCACCTGGCGGCCTTCCGTTCACACCCAGCAGCTCTGGGGAGGGGGCTGCACCTTTGTGGGATCTGAAGGAAGATCCCTGGGCTTCCCGTGTGCCTCCGTGGGACATTCATGACCCCTCCCTGCTGGTGTTTACATGTGCAATTATCACTGCCATCTATAAATAAGGACCAGAGAGGTGCAGTGACTTTCTCAAGGTCACACAGGTTGAACAGAGCGGAACCAGGGACTCCGTCCTCACAGGCTGTGCTTTCAGTAAACACACAGACTTTGAAGACAGGCAGTTGAGGTTGTTAGCTGTGCCCCTCCCTCCCTAGCGGTGAACACATGGGCCACACGCTAAACGGTGGCATGGGGGGTTTTGGCTGTGATATTGACAGATGTGCATCCCCAGTCCTTTCTGCTGTGACTTCTGGGTACACTTGACCTGCCAACCTGTCTTAGCAGGGGGTGGGGATGAGGGGGGTAGAGAGATGTTTCACAGATTGCTCCCCAGTCAAACGCTGACCCGACGAGGCTGCTCCCCCACCGGCCAAACTCTGCTTCACGTGTAGAGTGGGATGTGGGTCTTGGGTCACTGATGCCCACAGTGTCAGCTCCTGATTCACAGAACCAACACCGAGCACAACTAGAGGACGCAGCCTTTGCGTCTAGTGCAAGGGTGCAAGGCCACAACCCTTCACATCCAAGTGGAAACCCTGGGTAGAAATGAGAAGAAAATCCTGGAAAACAGCCTCATTTTCAAACATCAGAGCCACAGAAATCTCAAGGCAGTGTCCCACCTCATTCCCCCCATCCTAACTCTTGGTGACTCTCCATCTCTCTCTTCAGGGTGGCTGGTGGATTCGAACTGTCAGCCTTTTAGCCGGCAGTCCCACATGTAGCCCACTATGCCACCAGGGCTCGCTTCTTAGAGGCAGTGCAAACAGCTTGCGGTTTTGAGTCAGATCTAGGTTCAAATCCTGACTTTCCCACTCTTTGTGCTTGGGGCATGAATGATGGTGTTTATCTCTGTAAGAGCAGAATGATGAGATCTCCCTCACAGAGAACTGCATGATAAGGTGAATGCGGCTGAGGTGCCAGTCGTACACAAGGTGCTTGGTAAGGGGCCTCCTGTGTCCTTACAAAGTGGAATTTGTAAGACACTCTTCTGTCGGTTTGCTGTGCTGAGGTAGCCTGGGGTTGCTGTGATGCTGAACCTTGTGCCACTGGGGTGTCAAAATGCCGTAACGGCTTCCCGTGGTGGACAGTGTTTGGTGGAGCTCCCAGTTTAAGACAGGTTTGGAAGCAGGAGTGGCATCCACTTCTTAAACCACATGCCTCTGGAAACTATGAACTTTGAGAAATGACAGTAGTTCTAGACAGGCTTCAGGTCTTTTGTTCATAGGGTCGCTATGAGTCGTGCTCGACTCGACAGCAATCAACAACAACAACTTTGTAAGAGGCGACTGCCACTGTACTGGGATCCGTATAAGGTCCCCCTGAGTGGTGCGGAGGTTGTTGGTTCAAACCCACCCAGCGACGCTGGGGAGAAAGGCCTGGTGGTGGTCTGCTGTCGTAAGGGTCACAGCGAAGGGACCCTGGAGAGCAGTTCTGCTTCTGTCCCCGGGGCTACAACAAGTCGGAGTTGGCTCTGTGCCCTTGAGTTTGTGTTTGTTATCATTCATACGAGTTGGAAAGATCTTAGTGAGCAGTGGGGAAGGTGCCATTTCTCTGCAGTCTTCTAAAAGCAGGGTCCCTAATCTGGGGCTCATGTGCCTCTGGGGGGTTCCTGAGAGAAATTCAGAGGGAACAGGAGCCGTTGGGGTTGCACGCACATAGTGAGAAAAGAAATGTGTCCACTCTGTAAGGGCTGCTGTCAGATTTGCGAGTTTCTGACTTGTACCTTGCAAAGGACAAAGGACTCCGCTGTTGAAGGCACCTTGCAGAGGCCGTGGGAAGGGCGTCAGTGCAGCACCCCGGGGAATGGGTCTGGCAGGTGGCTGCAGCAAGCACCCACACAGGGGATGGGGTGCCCTCACACCTTGCTCTTCCCGCAGTACATGGCGTTCTTCGAGTTCAACAACCGCCTGGAAGCCATCCTGAGCAAAGCCTACGTTTACAGGTGAGATGCAGCTACGTGAGCGCGCACGCCATTGCATTGCGCGTGCACACAACCACAGACACGCGCGCACCTCACGCTGAGGACGCGGGGCCTTCAAGTGAGAAAGGAACCAGGCGTCCTCTCCCCCTTCCCAGCCCCCTGGCCCCCACACTTCCTCCTGACCGGAAGTGGGGCCTCTTCCTGCCTGACCTCTTCTCCCAAAGGATGTTTGTGTTTTCAAGAACCAGGAATGTCCTGTTTCCCCCCATTGTGATGAGGACATGAGTGTGTTGACACATGTGTCTCCCTAGCACAGCCAGCGAGCCAAGCCTCATTCTGGCCTCGTCCTGGGGAACTGAGCCCCCATCTAGCTCAAACATGGGGAGTGGTCGTAAGGGCATCGCGCAGCTGCTGGGTGGGACAGAAGACCAGCCAGGCAGTGACTCAAGGACAAGGCTCACATCTTTCCTGGTGGCTCAGTTTCTTACCCTCCTCAGCCATGACCACCCCCTCAGAACGTGTGCTCACGTGTGGTTCTGCTACACCCCCCCCCTTTGCCAATTCTGGTCCCAAGCCCCAACAGCTTTCCATTCTAGTGCCACCACTCTCAATTCACATAGTTTCAAACTAGCATCCAACTGGGCTCCCTGTGTGATCCCTTTGGCCAGGTGGCCACCAGCCATGTGACATTCTAACTGAGGCCTCTCAGAAGAGGGTGTGAAGGAGGCATCCCTGATGTGCTTTCTGGGGTGAGAGCCCCCTTTTCTGCTGCTGTGCTCACATCTCTCCCTTCTCCCCAGGGTCATCAGGACCACGGCATACCTGCTCTACAGCCTACATGTCAACTCCTGTCTGTATTACTGGGCGTCAGCTTATCAGGGCATCGGCTCCACTCACTGGGTTTATGATGGTGTGGGGAACAGGTGAGCGCCTGCTCCCGGCCGGTGCCCAGACAGCATCTCTGCTCTCCTCGCGTGATCACAGTCCAAAGGGGTGTCATGGCCTCTGTGTTACTGAGGCTGCCCTGGTCCCAAGGAGTCACCCAACAGGCATAATCAAGTTCAAGGGCCAGTGTCTGTGTTTTCACTAACCTGACGTTTCCTGAGCACCTGCCAAGTGCCAGACTCTGGCAGACACAGTAGGTGCAGACATGACCAAGACCCTCTTGAGAGACCCCTTCAGCTCCCCGAAGGGACCTAGGAGGTTTGGGACCTTGCGGTGGGGATGGTGCAGGATCACAGGGTTCCAGTGTTCTGTGTAGGGGTGCTGTGACGGGGCGCCGGCTCCATAGCACCTCATAGCTGGTTGTTGCTAGGTCCCATCAAGTCGGCTACGACCCAGTGACCTTGTGAGCAATCGATCTGAACCCTGCCCTACCTGCAGCGTCCTCTTCTCTGTCCTGCTCGCGCCATAGTCACTGTTCAGTCCATCTCACGGACAGTCTCCCTCTCTTTCTATGACCCTCCACCTTTCACAACATGCTGTGTCTCTCTGAGGACTGGGTCCTCTCAGTAATACATCCCAAGTAAGTGAGACGAAGTTTCAGCATCCCTGCCTCTCAAGGAACATTCTGGACACACTTCATTCAAGACAGATTTGCTTGTTCTTTTAGCAGTCTATAGGATATTCAAGACTCTTCACCAACACCACAATTCAAAGGCATTGATGCTTCTTTTGTCATCTTAATTCATTGTCCAACTTTTAGATGCACAAAAATGCAAAGGCTTGGGGTAAGCACACCTTAGTCTTTAAACTGGCATCCTTGCTCTTTAGCACAGTCCTTGACAACAGATTTCCCCAAGGCAACATATCTTTTTATTTCGTGACTGCTGTTACCATGGGTGCTGATTGTAGATCCAAGTAACATGAAATAATTGACAACTTCAGTCTTTTAATTTCAAGCTTTCAAGATCTAACCTAAAGTACAATGCTGTGATCCATTCACACACACTAATACAAGCATTATTCAAATATGATATACCAACCGCAGAAATCAAAGATGAAGAAATTGAGGACTTCTACCAGCTTTTGTAGTCTGAAATTGACCAAATATGCAATCAAGAAGAGTTAAAAATAATTAGTGACTGGAATGCAAAAGTTGGAAACAAAAAAATCACTAGTAGTTGGAAAATATGGCCTCGGTGGTAGAAATGAGACTGGAAATCAAATGATAAGAGTTTTGGGTAATGAATGAATGATTCATTGGAAGTATTTAAAAAAAAACCCAACAACACAAAACTCAAGTGGTGACCCTGTACCAGGACTTCACATGCTGGGCCATTCAGGAATCAGTTGACTACTCTGTGAAAGCCGTTGGAGAAACTCACTATCAGCAGTCAGTACAAGTCTAAGGGCTGACCATGAACAGGCCACCAACTACTCACATGCAAGTTCAAGTTGAAGTTGTAAAAAAAAAAATTAAAACAAGTCCATAAGAAGCAAAATATGATCTTGAGTATATCACAACTGAGTTTAAAAATGATCTTAAGAATAGATTTGATGCCTGAAACATTAATGACCAAAGACCAGAAGAGTTGTGGAATGACACCCAGGACATCAACCAAGAAGAAATCAAAAGGTCTTTACAAAGGCAGGGAATAAAAGAATGACCAAAACGGATGTCAGAAGAGACTGAAACTTGCATTGGAACAAAAAGAAGTCAAAACAAGGCTAACAATGCAGAGGTAAGAGAGCTGAACAGAAGATTTCAACAGGCAGCTTGAGAAAATAAAGTATTATCATGAAATGTGTAAGGAGCTGGTTAGAAAACCAAGAGACAAGCAGGTGTGGCATTTCTCATGATGAAAGAACTGAAGGAAAAATTCAAGCCTCGAGTGCTACACTGAAGGATTCTATGGGCAAAAATCTTGATTGATACAGAAAGGAATACAGAGTCAGTCTACTGAAAAGAATTGGTTGACACAGAAATGCTTCAGGAAGTACAAGTATTCAGGTCTTTCATTCATGGGGTCGCTATAAGTTATCTATGACTCAACAGCACTTAACAACAACAACAATAAAACAACAACAAGAGAGCTCTGTTGACCTAATGGATAGAAAGTTATGCTACCAAGCCAAAAGGAGGGATTTTAATCTGCAGCCCTCAGGCCTGGTTTTGTTTTTGGTCAAGCATTCTTCTAAGTGCTATAGCACTGGTCTGTCCATTACAGAGGTAACTCATGGTTGCTGAGATGCTGAATGCTGTGACACTGATGTGCCAAATGCAATAATGGTTACCCATGATGGAAAGCGTTTGGTGGAGCTCCCCGATTAAAACAAGCTTGGAAGCAGGAGTGACATCCACTTCTGAAATAGCTTGCCTCCAGAAACTCTATGAACTTGGAGAAACGATAAAAGTTATACAAGTGTTCAGGTCTTTCATTTATAGGGTCACTATGAGTCATCTATGACTCGATGGCACTTAACAACAACAACAACAACAACAACAGCAGCAGCATATGATCAAGAACAAATAGAAAGGCGGCCAAGCTGCACTGAAGGCATTGACAAAAAGCAGGACCCCAGAAATCAATGGAATATCAACTGAAGTGTTTCAGGAAACAGATGTAACTGGTCATGTTTACCAGTCTGGGCCAAGAAATATGGAAGATTGATGGGAAGAGACTCGTATTGTTTTCATTCCCCAGAAAAGTGATCCAAGAGAACGTGGAAATTATGGAACAATATCATTAATATCATATGCAAGTAAAATCTCGCTGAAGATTATTTAAACACAGCTGGAAGAGTGCATATATACAGGGAATTACCAGCAATCCACCTAGTTAGATATCTGGCTAAAGGCTGCCTTACGCGCCCTCTGGTGGTGAGGATCAGTATGACGGGGCCTGTCTGGACAGAGGTGAGAATGCGGGGAGATCCAGCACCCTGTCAAAGTTCATAGAGTTTCTGAAAGCATGTTGTTTAGGAAGTGGATGGCACTCTTGCTTCCAACCAATACCTATACCTTTACCCAAAGATTCATTCATTTCTCGTGATGGAGAGATGATTCAGAAAATGAGACAGTGCTCTGAACTCTAGTTTCAGCCCCGAAACAGACCAGCTGGTGACCATGGGTGCCCCCTTTCCATTTGGGATCTCAGCTTCATGATCTGGAAAATGGGTAGACAAGTGGGGCAACCAGAAGAGGTAATCCCCGAGACATCTTCCAGTCTTGGTGGTGGATGTCTCTGGGTCCCTGCTTCCCATGGTGGAGAGCAGCCAAGGAAAGGTTGTGGATACTGAAGGTGCATTTCCTCTTTGAGGGAGGACTCTGGTCCATCCTCCTGGTGACAACTTCCCCAGAAGTCCCTCGGAGCTTGGATTTCCACAAGTGTTGATGGAGGTGACAGTGAGTCCCTTCTAGGTTGAGACACAGCCCCAGTCCAACCAGGCAGCATTTGCAAACATGCTCTGCAAACTATAACGTGCTGTGCACACAGGGACAGACTTTCTGAGCTGTTGAGAGGTCTCTTCTGCGGGGTGGGGTCTTTGGTGACCACGGCCCTTTTCTCCTCTCTCCAGCTACATTCGCTGTTACTACTGGGCCGTGAAGACCCTCATCACCATCGGAGGGCTGCCTGACCCCCAGACACTCTTCGAAATTGTGTTTCAGCTGCTGAACTACTTCACAGGCGTCTTTGCTTTCTCTGTGATGATCGGACAGGTAGCTGGCTTCCACCTCTCTGCCGGGCCCCTCTCCGCTGTCCCGCTCTCCCCCAGCTGTGCCGATTCAGTCCCCTCAGATGCCCAGAGAGTCAGTATCTGCGTGAAGTGGGCCTGCCTCAGGGTTCCACAGCCAGGGCTCTGAAGTTTCTTTCTACTTGAGACTTTTGTCTCCTCTACCCTACCTTCCCCCCCCACCCCCCATAACTTTGTGTTGTGAAATGGGAAACTTTTGTAGAGAAAACTGGTTTTCTGTTTAACAGTTCTTCCATGTTTAGATCCCTGACACTGATTGCAATGCCTGCTATGGAAGAACACTCTTCCCTATCCCTCCCTGTGTTTACCATTCCCATCCATCCCATCTTATCCCTTCCAGCCTTCTTGAGCAAATGCTGCCCTTTGCTCTAATGTGACGAGTTGTTGTTCTAGGGAGTGTGTACTTCCTTCATGTTATAACTTATCTCCCAGGCCTATTTTTTTTTGTTCGGCTTGAGCATTACATGAAGACGTTAAGCCCTTGGTGATGTTGGGGAAACCTGGTTTGTGCAAGGGCAAAGGATTTGAGGGAGCTTCTAGGGTGATTTCTAACCTGTTAGAGTGAAGTCAGTGCATGAGGTGACGCCCAGGAGTTCTCTCTTATCTTTGGAGGCCCTATATGAGGAATAGTTCACCTGGTTCTCATATGTGACGCCCAACAGGCCGCTGGCATCGAGAGCCACATGGCAGGAGAACCAGCCCAGCCCATTGCAGGGTACCCTCCTCGTGTGGCCCAGGGAACAGAGACCACTGGAGGGACCAGCAGCCTGGGTCTTCCCCACCCACATCCACACAGCGGCAGCCCCCTCCAGTCAGCCTTCTCTACGCTGGGACCTGTGTCCCCCTCTGTCTGTGAGCCTGCACCCCAGGCTGTACCCAGTAAATGCGTGCTTGGCACACGCCCACAGAGTCCCTTTAACAGCCCTGTACTCTGACTAGGAAGCTTCCCTGACAACTCCAATTACTTCCCCAGATGAGGGACGTGGTGGGGGCCGCCACCGCGGGACAGACCTACTACCGCAGCTGCATGGACAGTACTGTCAAGTACATGAACTTCTACAAGATCCCCAAGTCTGTGCAAAATCGAGTCAAGACCTGGTACGAATACACCTGGCACTCCCAAGGCATGCTGGGTAAGACTGGCCCACCCCTGTTGTCCTGCTCTCTGGGGTCCTGGACGCCTCCCGGCCCTCCTCTGTGTGTGTGTGGCCCCTCGGGTGGGACTTCTCTTGGCTGCTGCCCCAACACTTACATCAGGTAATCTCGGGAGGTGCTGGAGACTGGATAGGACTGTCTTCTGGGGACCCCACCCTACCCCACCCCGGTTTACCCAGGTTGAAAGTCATCACCACGACAGAGCAATTGGTCACAGGAGGGACTCAGATCAATGAAACTTAAAATGCATACTTGTTCTCTGCTGAGCTGATTCTGACTCCCGACAGCCTCTCGTGTGTGAAGGTTAAGCTGTGCTTCCTGGCATCCAGCGGGCTGCTTTTTCAGGCGTGACTGACTCTTTCAGGCATGACTTTCCTGCCAGACCCTTTCAAGGCACCTGTGCTGAACCAGAACCTCTAGTCTTTGATTTAGCAAACACACCATGTGCACCAGAGATTAACTCTTCTTTCTTTATATATTTGCATTATTATCCCCCCCCCATCAGTTTTGGCTGATAATAATCCTCCCTCAGTTCATGAGGCTGCACGTCTTTGCAGGGAGGAAACTGCCCACCTTTCTCTGAGGAGCAGCTGGTGAACTCAAACTAGCCTGGCTGGTAGCGGTCAGACAGCATGCAGCGTGCCACCAGGGCTGTATGTGTGTGTGCCTCTAATCCAGAAGCCTGTGCTCTCAGTTTTGTTTGGTTACAATGCATTTAACCCACCACCAGCTTTGCTTCCTTGGCTATCACGCCGTGCTCAGTAATTCCTGCAAAGTGGACAAATCTTGTCAATTGTTTCCAAGGAGAGTCGTGTTTCCATAGATTAGAAACCTTATTGAAATGTGCGTTAATGGTTTCTATTTTCCCCAGTTCTTTGTCTATTTGAAAGCGAGTCATTTTGCTTGCAGGGCAGATATGTGAGGAGCCTACGTTAGAGCCTCCCAGTCCCTCAGCCAAATGGAAGGGCCCCTCGTCCGCTTCAGTGCTACAGTCTCCTGAGTGGAGTGGGGGCTGCTGCGCATCTGTGGACCGTGCTGTTAGGATCTACCCATGATCCACCGCTCTGGCAAGTGGCTCTGCGGTACACAGAGTGTTGGCATCACTGCCTCTGTCTGTGCCCTGGCAGCCATGTGACATCCATATACTTCCCTCTTCTAATACAAGAGGATGTTAAGGACTAGAGAGGGAACTTCCCTGCCTACCATCTCTCAGACCGAGTGCTTAAACAAGGGGTGCAGTGGGGCACCAGAGCTGAGTGGTGACCCACACTCACAACTTGGGGGGACAAAAGCTCCCTTGGACCCAGCCGACGGCAACCCTCGCCCATCCCTCCCTTTCCAGAGCAGGCTCTGTGCTTCCCACAGGGACCCCAGGTGGGCAAGGCTGGTGGGGTTCTGTTCCCTGGAAGCTCTGGAACGGTGTGTCCTGGGGGTGGGGGGTGTCACAGGACACCCCGAGCTCTCTTTCATCATCATCTACAAAATGAGATTTATAGTAACGCGCACCTTGGCTTGCTACGAGGATTCAACGAGACGATCTTTGTAAAGCGGTACCTGAAACTCAGCAAGTGCTGACATACAGACACACAGCCAAGTGCAGGCACACAACACCATTACAGACTCAGAGCACAAGGACAGACACACTGCCAGGGAGTCACATGGCACATTCTTGGACACACAGCACAAAGATCGAATGTACAACGTCAGGTTCGGCCACCCATCCTGACTCCTGGGGACCCCACGTCTGTCAGAGGAGAACTGAGC